ACAGGCATAATCATAGCCCTGTAAATGCTTTCTGCAGCTGCACAAGTAATGGAAGAACGAATTTTCCGCAGTAGAGTGACTCTCCCGGCCGCTTTCTTTTAGGTTTTGTTGAAATGGGTTTCAAAACTCAATGTAGGATCTAAATGGACACCCAAGTACTTGTAGGTTGTTGTGCTATTTATAGGTAATCCATTTACCGTCAGATTGAGCTGTTTACCTTGGAGACGACTCAGCCTTTGTGCAGTTCCGAAAATAACGAATAAGTAATTCTAAAGATTATTAATTCAGCCAGTATGGGATTTCTTTCTGACGCTATCTGTGAAAGTTTCTATCAGCTGTTATTTCACTTACTGGTTATCAATCAGCGTAAACCCCTTAGAAGTGCCGTTTTTGACTGCATTCACGTGACATTTCTTGGGAATAACTACGTGGTCGTCCTTGGTTGCTAAAACAAAATAAAAACAAACAAACAAATAGTTGGTTTACTAACATGTCCCCTCAACGTTAACAATCCTACAATGTACCGCTTTATACACTTAGTCCTAATTACATTTACTGGACAGTGCCTGTTATTTCTTCTGTTTATAACTGATCAATAAAGAAACAGTGTCTTACCTTCTACCTGGACGTAAATTTTCTTGCTTAATTTTACGCCAATCGGGAATCTGGTGTACTCCAAACTGAAAGACTCGTTGCTAAAGATTGCAACTTGGACCTCTTTAAATTTTTCATGGGTTGTGCTATTTGTCTCTGCTCGAACTTCTAAAAGAAACAATTGATTAAAGTTTATGTTCAAATTGTTGTAAAAGAGGTTTTTTTTTAAATGGTTTAATTCGACATTCAGCTGCAGATACTTTCTTACAAAATATGTTAGGTCTAGGGTCAACCCCCTCCTTACGGACACCTCCATTATACGGACCGCTCTATAAGAGGACAGTTAACTTAGTGCTCCTTTGGGTGTCCGTATCAAAGGCGTTCGACCGTATTACAAGCTTGGAGAAATTTTCCCATGCGCACATTTTCCTCTTGCGCTTCTAAGCAATAAATGCCCATTAATTACCTTCCTTGTGGGAGGCATGGTGACCTCATGGTTAGTGCGCTCGTCTCAGGATCGAGCGGTCCGGGTTTGAGCCCTGGCGGGGGACGTTGTGTTTTGTTCTTGGGCAAGACACTTTACTCTCACTGAGCCTCTCTCCACCTGGGTGTATAAATGGGTACCGGCGAACTTAATGCTGGGGGTAACCATGCGATGGACTAGCATCCCATCCAAGGGGGAGTAGAAATACTCCTAGTCGCTTCATGCTACAGAAACCGGATAAGCTCCGGCCTGGTGTGCTACTCGGCTGTTTGCACACTTTATCTTCTAATTACCTTCTTTCCTTAGTTACGCCTCGATTTGCCATACCAGGTTATTCAATGTTTGCATGGTTCTTTTGAACGCCAAGACCTAATGACGTACAAAGTTGGACCAGCTATTTTTAAACGCAAATTCATACCTCTAAAGTTCAAGTTCGGAAATGAGAGTTTCATTTAATGCTCTTGAGCAATTTTGCAACCGGCAATAAAACCTAGGTCACATAGCATTTTGATCAGTTTTTGACTCGCAGAATCTGTCTGCACCTTCTTTAATTAATTAGCCACGTCTAAAAGTATCACATTACCTGGCAATTTTGACACCAAGGCTAATATTATCCAGGTAAATAGCAAAAAGATGGCCATCTTCTTCTTGTTTAAATAACCCTCCTTACTTCTTACGCGTTCACTGAAAGACATGAAAAAATTTCTAAAGTTGCCTCACCTCTTTTTTGTGTTTTGCAAGGAGGCAGCGCGCATGGAGCGGGCCTGAAGCCTAAAAAAGGCAGTCTTTGTGTAAATTTTCCGTATTGTTGAATGTTTTTTTTTTGGTGACAAAAAGCCGCAACCTCACGGAAGTTTTTGAGAACAATTTCTGTATTCTTTAATGTACTTTTTTGGTGACAAAAAGAAAGGTGAACTTTGAAGGACCAGTTTTTCCTAGAAACAAAACTTTCAAGCAATTCCGAGCCTAGAGTCCTCCGGCTCGAAGGCCAGCGGCTGATCGTACAGAAGGAATTACCCAAATAAGACTTTCCAGACTAAAGAATGATTTGAAATGTCAAGATTTTTTTCGGTTTCTTTGCGTTTCCTCTCGATACTGTGTTCCCATAGACTGTATCTACCACTGCAGCTTAGTTGCGGTGAGATTGTGAAAATGCCAAATAATCAGCCGTTTAGTTGGTTTTCGACGCGACTCTGGCAATTACGCTTTAAGCATGCGTTGTAGTGACATTGAGTAAATCAGGAGATCGCAGGGTAGATCTCAGCACTCTATCTCAGCGTTCCATTTTACCAGAAATCCTATTAACTTGTGATATTATTTCTTCGAAAAATTTAGTGCCTTCAATAGTACGTTTTGTCCAATTCTAGATAACCTTTAATTTGATTTCGTTTTGAAGGTAAACTGATTTATCTCAAGCCTGAAATTTCAGTCGCTATCCGCCCTCAGTTGAGGAAGGGAGACAACTGACTCCAACTCTACAGTACTCTTCAACCTATTGTAGCTCACAAATCAGGAAGCTAGCCTGGCATTCAGCCTCGATCAGCAAAAGTTCACTTCCGCTTTTCAAAGAGTCTGCAGTTTCCTGGTCAGCACCGTTTACATGAGTATGCGTAAACAAAGGCCCGGCGGACGAAGCGGAAACGGATGGGACAACAGAGGCCGGTTCGTTATGAATGGACTACGAGGATCTGTGCCTTATAATTCACGTTAAATGTTTGCAAAACTCAAGCAGAAAATCGCCGAGGAGGAATTGACCTCTGATTCAAGTCGTTCTTTGCCTTCCAGCCCGAGCGTACGACGAGCTAAGGTCAATGGATGGACAGAGAACAAGTGGGAAAGGCGAAGACTAAGCAATGCGAGTAGCTTGTATGAATCAAGGGAATCTCTTCTCAGTGAAAGCAGTGTTGCTTCATCGGGGTACAATATTTCAAGGCATGCCTCGTTCACGAGCAGGTCAGCTGCGACTCCAGTTGGAACGCCTGTGGAACCACCGAGTTGTATGGTTAGTAAGGATATGTTGATCGAAATGTTCGCTCGCTCGCTCTCCTTTCGTCTCATGACTTTTTAATATCATGCATTGTTTCGTTGTGACCTTGACTACACCATGTTTTTCTGCTGTAGTTAAAAGCTGACTGGATAAAACTTTAATTTTCCCTGAAAGAATTGAATGTCTACAAAAAGGTTTGACGTTTGAATCCGAAGTTTAGTTTGATGCTCTTTTGTCGACCGCTAAGTCTGACCATATCAGTTATGGTGACTTCAATATTTCTCTCGCGTATATCCTCCACGTTGCCAACTCATTAGCACTCATTATCGCCCAGAATTTTACTAATTGGAGTTTAAAACCAGATAAAGAAGACTAGGTACAATTTAGTAATCATTAGAGGCTCTACTTCAAACGGAAGGGTTCTGTTGTTGTTCTGATGTAAGTAAATCCAAAATAAAAGATGTCATAAATAATAAATGGCAGTTTGGTTTTAAGTGACTGCCTTTATTTGACGGTAAATAAATGTAGATTAATCTGTAAACTTTTATTGAGAGGTAAAATTTTCACCAATACAAATAATTTTTGGGTGATAATTTATCCAAATACGTGGTACATGTGCATTGTTTACCAATTGTTTACAAATTGTTTTGCTTGACTAAATTTCAAATTGTCATGGTCTTTTGCACACATACTCTCCAGATCCCTCAGTGCACCGTGAAGAGCGTTACATCCATGTGGCCTCGTCAGACATGAAAAAATTATCATATCTGTTCAAATTAATTTATCTGCTTATAAAGAAATCCGTTACTTTCTTTAATTTCCCCACTTCTTGCAAATGCTGTTTACATGTAATATCAAGTAAAATGTTTCAATATAAAAAGCAATTGCAAATTTTTGCAGCTCGATTAAATCGAGAACTCATTTTGCATGTGCAGTTCCTCACCTGAGAACAAGGCAACTCAAAATTTGACCAGCAAAATGTAATGCTGTTCATAGTAGTTCTACAGTGTATACTGATTGGCATTGAATCTTTGATTTTAGTTTTTGCTTGGTTTTGAATATAATTTATGGCAACCAATAGCAGTGAGAGTAGTTCCACATATAATTTCTAATAGTATTTTTTAGGTCTGACTTGCTGTCTGCGTGAGGAGGAGACATCATCTCCCGTAAAGTAGACTACGAGTAGTCCCTCCCTCACTTGGTCTGTCATGCATGATATGAAAGAAAACTGCTAGAAAAAAGTGGCAAGAAAAAGGATTTTGCAGGGCCATTTTTTCCTCTAGGTTTATCCATTAAGACCTGAGAGTAATAATATGTCAATGCATGTTTATCATGAATCTTAAAAGATTTTTTAAGTTGTGTAAAATATCTGTCGTTGCTATAAAAAGCTGAGCGTATGTCACATCTGAATAAAGCAAGGATTCCATAACGATGCAGTGGGTGGTCACTACCAGAAACACAAAGTAAAAGAAATTGTCAAAGTTCTGGGTTGGAAAGTGGTTGTGGTTTCTTAAGAATGCAAGCAGTTGTTGCTTATGAGTGAGTGTCTGTCAAGTGGTTGCTAAAGGAGAGTGGTCGCTTAAGAGAGTGGTTGCTAAGAGACAGTTGACTGTAGTTTGTTTCTTGAATGGTTGTTCTATCCAAGAGCATTGGAAAGTGAATCACCTCATATTACTTTTTTCTGTAATGTCCGATATTATATACGTGTAGAACAGGGCTGTTAAAAAAGGGCCGCAACCAGTAGCACCCGTTACGGCTGAGCATGCTTGATGGGCCCAGTGTGAAGATCAAGGCTTAATGACAGCCCTGTAAAAGAATTGTGAAGCATACATGTTATTCCAGTTACAATACAGATGCTGGCTAGCCAGGACAAACATGCTGGAATGCGTTGTTGAACATGCTATTGGTACTTTTTTATCTCAGGGTAAAGTTTTGGAGTGCAGTGTAACTGAATTAGTCATACTTGTGTTGAAACATAAATGATTGACCAACACTTGCTGAGTAGTTGAATTTCTAGGTTTTCTTTTATTTTAAAGTAAATTTATTAAACTTAATTCATCTCCTGAAACTTTATTCAATTTTTTGATCCATGAGGACTGCACAAATATTTTAATATTATATTCAGTTCATTTTTCTTTTTCATTTTTGTTGCTGTAGGTCAATGCCCGATCTTCTAAAGAGGAAATCCTTAATTTGCTGGCAAAGAAAGGAGAACAAGTCAACAGACTGGAGGCAAAGATTGCAGGTAAACTGATATTTAAATATGTAGCATGGTGCATAGTTTGCAAATTATTTCTAGAGAGAAAAATATTTTGAAGTTGAAAAGTCATATAATTAAGGATTGAAGTTCAAAATAACATCAGAAGTCAACAGTATACTACTTATGTAACGTTTTCCAGTGGCATACTGTGTAATATTCGGCGAGTCACTTGTATTTTCTTGGTATGCACAGAAGCTTTTAGGAAAGTTTGTATGCCGAGAAAATACAAATTCCATGGTATACCACAAGAAAATGCTGCATAACTATTTTGTACAATGCCATAAAAAATACAGTGGCCAACACAATCAACACAATATACAATGGGAATGTTGAGTGTAATAAGTACATGTACAATGTATAGCTAGTATATAACAGCTTTCCCGTATTCTGATTGGCTGTCTGTTCTATGGTTTGGTATAAAGACCAAATGAATATACCATGATCTGTCATACCGTGTCATGTCATGTAATTTTAAGGTACATAGCCCAGAAAAGCAGGCTGACCTTGTTCATGAGCCTGTTTCACTATTTCTTAGGTGCATCTCTGCATTATTTCTAAACACTCTTGGGGAAAAGAGGCATCGTGTTTGTGTATATAATGCCTTCTTGGAACTGTCAATCTTGTGTCTAACTGCTAACCATAAGGTCTCACATTTTCATTATTCTCTATCAGTAACCAATAAAAATGCTTGTCTGACTGCTAGTTTGGTTTAAAGTAGTCAAAAGTCCATAATTATACTGGCATTAAGCTGGGTTGACAGCTAGGGAATTAATTCCGGTTTGCATGATAACAATTTTTTTTTGTTGCTGGTCAAATTTACAGAGATGGCAAGTCTTCTAAGAGAGCAGACAAGAGTTAAGGAATCACTTGAAGGTGCTCTTGAGAGACAGAAGGAAGGTACTGTTCTTATGTTATGTTGTGTTCTTAAATTTAATGTACTTGCCTGATACATATGTACTTCATGGTGAGAACTGGGATAATCAATATTGGCTAACATACTACAACACACATTTTTTTGAAGGACCAATTGCTACCCTTAGTTGGTCTTGAAATTGTGCCACCTAATTGCAAGAACAATATATTTATAATAATGTTAAGCTTGGTTCTCATATCCCGCCGACCTATCTGCAACGTAGTCGCGGGTTGCAACTGACAACGTTTGGCGATCTGACCCAGTGGGTTCCTGGCGCATCTGCGATGGATCATTGACGAACTCAAATTTGCATGAAATGCAAATTGAATTGCGCAAGTTACAACCCTTTTACCTGTAAATATGGATTGAATTGTCTTACTGGAGCACGTTGCATCCGCAGATGATGTTCACATAAAATATTTTCATCGCCAACAACCGCCGACAACCGATGGCTTGCCTGCGAAGTTGAACTCAGCTCAACTTCGCAGGCAAGCTGGCGGTCAATACCTGGGATAGGTTATGATTCGGCGATAAATGTTCACATATGCCGTAATGGTGGCTATGTCCCAGGTATGTCGGCGGCATATGAGAACCAGGCTTTAGATTGAAATAGCTGTACAACAATGTTACACTGACAATATTGACAAATGAATGTAGAATGCAGAATTGTGAATCGCATTTCAGACATTCAGTAACATTTTTCTTCTGACAAACTGAGACTGGCTGACTGATTGAGTGTCAATTTGTTTTAGAGCACTCCACACGGATCACAAGTATGAACAATGAATTTGAAGAGAGATCTAAGAAAATGAAAAATGAGTTTGAGAAGACTCTCAAGGAAAAAAACCAGGTATTGATTTAGATTCTGATTCGGTGATGGTTTCTAGCAAACTCCTATGAATAAGTGCAGTTGCATGTTAACAAATTGACATAAGTTTATCATGCCTCTGTCCTGTTATTGAGTAAGTAAGCTTACAAGTAAGCAATAGCCAAGTGGATCTGCAGACTACTTTGACAATGCTATGACAAAATTCATGGTCAAGGACAGGACAGATGCATGAAAAACTAATGTCAATTTGTTTTTTACAATAAATTATAAATTCATTTGTCTGTCCTCTTATTGACAGTGAAAATTAGCCAATGAGCACACAAGAATTTCTGAAGTTAAATTGTAAAATAGTATTATTGTTATTAATACTAGTGAACCCACACAACTAGAAAATTATTGTCAGTTCTAAATGCGAAGAACACGTCAAAATTCAGAGAAAGACACATTACCGGTAAATCAGTCAGTGACATGGTTTTCCAACAGGAGATGAAGCTGTGATCTTTTGTACATTTGACTGCTGCTCAGCTCTGCCACTAAGCTGTATACAAGTACATTGTACACAATGCTAGGAGCAGTTTCATTGCTGAGTAGGAATGTGTATTGCAGGTTTAAATGCAAGTTTATATCCACACATGCTGATCTTTACGTTAAATTAAAGAACCACCAAAGATCAAACTATTTCAGCAAACCTCAACAATGAACAGTCTCTGTGTTTATTGCCACATTCATGTTTTAATCAGTCCCTGTACTCATTAAAGATGATGGACACATGTAATTGCTTGCTGAGAAAAAATAATGATTAATTTAATTACACTACCTATGTACAATTTTAATGCAAGAATAACCTGCCCTAGGGTTCCAGATAATCATCTTAAGTTTTTGTTAATATTAGTTGGATCAAGTACAGTGCACCTGAGCTTGTAGGGTTTAGCAACAGAGATTCCTCTGTTATCTGGAACACTGAATGCCATGGCGATAGTGGTATATTCAAGAGAGTATATTACATCACCACAATTAGGACGAAGTTATGTAGTAAGTGTACAAGTTGTAAAAATAAAATTGCACTTACATCTAGTGTGATCATAATAATTATTCAACTGGATTCAATGTAAACGTTCCATCACAGTAGAGTATACAGTGTAGGTTTAATAAAGATTAAAAGAAAATTATAATTCTGGCTATGAAAATAAGCTTGCCAGTTTTTAACTCCATTTTACATTCAGCATATAGCTTTTTGTCAAAAGTAGTCATTTGTGAAAATGAAAACCTTTAAATTGTGTCAAATTATAATTTTTAGGAACTTGAAAATAAACTGAAGGCCCTAACTTTGGTAAGAATCAGATATTAAATTGCTTGCTTTCAATACTAACTAGAAACTAAAGTAAGATAAATGCTGAAGTTTAACGTGGAAAGTTTATTGTTGGATTTTAATCCTTTCATCTTGAAATGCAAAAGAAAATTTTGGTTTAAGATATACATTTAATCATTAACCGACATTAAACGCAGTGGACCAGTATGTCAAGTCCTTTTGCGAGAAAAATAATGCTCAACAGTTGGAACTACCTGTAGGCAATATCGTGACTAAATTGGCACAACATATACCATGTAGTAAAAACATTCACTACTTTTACGTGGAAGGTCCACCTTCCATGTAAAAGTAGTGAACTACATGTGATGTTCTTTAACGAGAAATCGTACTCTTTTCTTGCTCTTTTATTGGTCTGTACACACTATGTAAACCACCAAAACTTAAATCAAGTTATTCAATTATCTAAAAAAGTATAATTATAACTATTTTCAGCAGCTAGTTTCAATGAACGTTAACGTTGATAAAAGTAGACTTAGTTTACTTTACTTACTTGACCATTTGTAACTCCCTTTAATCCACCCTGATGATTTTATAACTATAAAACATTCTGGCGGTTTAGGAAAGCACACGCTATGCAGACATGAATGAGCTTAACGAACTTCAACAGCAAGAACTGACCAAGATGAAGTCCTTGGTAGGTTGTGCTTTTAGCAAGAGCTCTACGCTTTATACACATCAGACATTCTTTTAAGTGTAACCAGCTTTGTCTAAAGTATCAAAGACTCTTTTATAATTTAAGCATAAGATTTTTTTTGTAACTTTTCATAACCACATTTAGACAATTAATGCACATTCGATTTCAACTCTGTTAAGGAAAATTGTAAATAGTACACTGGGCAAAACTGCCCTGTATCGACGTTTTACAGCAAAAATTCAAACAAGTAAAGCGACGCAAAGAATGTTGCGATTGTCTTAAACGTTATTAAATTTTACATATTTAAAGTAATTTTCATATGGATCACTCCAGGAAGACTTGTGTTACAGCGTATCCAAAGTACAGAAAATCACAATTTCTGAGTAGAAAGAGTCACACGTTTTTCGTCGACATCAAAGTGTGATTGTGGAATTTTTTTGTCATGAATTCGACGAGACTGAAAGCACGAGGAAGGTGCAATAATCCATCTAAACAGCTCTGTAATTCTGTTATACATCAGCAAGGCAAAACCAAGCGTTATTTCAAGTTCCGTATGCCAGAAAATGCGGGGAAATGGCAAGCTCCAGATAGATGAGCCCAGAATCAGGTCCGGCAACTTTCCGAGAAGCACAAGTAGTAGTGTCTGAAGTTCTTGGCCAGCAACGCTTTAACACTGCAACATTTTTTGGCTTGTACAAAGCGCGAATTACAGGCTGCCCTGTTCAAAACAAGTAGAAGACTGATCAATTGGCAAAAACAGTTTAAAGAAGGTGAATGTCTGAAGACATTATCGCATTTGAGTGGCCAAATAGTTGTCAAGTCTTTCTCAAGCTTTCTTGTCAATTCTTTACAAAAAAATTCCACAAACACGTAATGATGTTCTTCGCAAAACACTTCGATTGTGACTTTTTTCCCCCGGAAATCACGAGATTTTGCATACTTTGGTGATTCAGTTACCAAATTTGGATTTGCTGTAATGCAAGATCTATATGAAAATAACTTTCCACGTGTGGAATTTAGTAGAGTTTAAGACAATAGCAAAATTATTTGCGTCATTTTGCTTGTTTCAATTTGTTGTTTTTAGACTTCGATCCATAAGAGGTTTGGCCAGCATATCGTATGAAACACGTGATTGATGTTGTGATCCTACTGTGACTGCTATTCGGGCTTGTAGCCTCACACATGTTCTTGGTCACTATTAGAGAAATGTAGTCTAAAATATAGAAAATCGTTATTGACCAGAAGGAATTTTTTCATTGGACAAATGTGCATGTCACTGGGGTGTTGTGGTTTTCCAATGGATTACTGCCATAGATTTTGTGAAACTGAAAGTGATGCACACCGTAGTTACAGAGCCAGTCACTGACTCCTTCCTTGCTTTAGTGCGGTCAGGTCTCGGGACTGTTGCACCATTCACTGACCGTACAACTGTATGCATAAAAATTCTTGAATGCATTGTACATACATGTACTTGTTTAGGGCTGATCTGCCCTGCATAAACATTCTAAATGAAGAGGAGTTTGCTAGCAAGACCTAATAAAATTAGTGGTATTTAAAGAAAATTAATATAATCTTCAAGTTTTAGCCTTGCATTCATTTTTACTGCAATTAAGCTCTTGTTGCTTGCACTACTAAAGGTGTAATTTAATGAGACTACATGTACATGTATTGGCTAATAGTCAAAGAGCTGCGGCCAAGTTTATTATCACTCATAGAAATCAAGGACTAGTAGCCTAAATGTTTTAGTTGTCAATGTGAGAGAAGAGCGGTCCAAAACTTGCATTTTATTCAGGGCGAGGCCAAAAGCTAAGAGTGAATTATTCTTTCTTGAAACGGCTGCGTGCTTTCGATCATGTGCTACCATCTAGAAGACCACAATAAGAGAAGCAATCACATTCGTGAGCGGTGTCTACTGTTGCAATCCTTTCCAATTAGTTACAACACTCAATAGTGGAGAGAAAAAAGTTCCATGTGGAATCAATTATGAATGGGAAAAGGAGATTTCTACAACTATAACCCTAACGGACTCTGAATAACGAGGAAATATACTCAACTTTATAGGCACTGGTTAGAACGTGAATGGCATTTGGTCTATATCAGAATTCAATTAACTGAAGTCATAAAGCGCGCATAACGTCAGAAAGTTCAACGTAACTTAAAACAATGTAAAATGCCGGCATCAAACCACTCCAGAACTGGAAGCAAATCTAAAGCGGAAGTAATTAATTGTGCAGTCAAAGATAGGTCACTATAACCATGTAAAGGTAGTTTTCAAGAATCAAGTTACCTATATGTATCTTCAGATCAAAGAAAACCTTAAAATAAAAGTGTGAAAATTTGTAATGGATCTTGAACGTGCTGTATGTGTTGGTAAATGTGTGCTGGTGCGCAAAGTTATATAACGCGTCGCCCCTTAAAAAATAAACTAGTTAAAAGTTTAAGTGTAAATTGTGTGAAAATAATTGTTTCTGTAACCTTTAAACAGTTCATCCAATATCAGACCGATGCTACTCGCAAAGCTGCAGAGATTATTGAGAAAAGCAAGGTAAGAATTCGGTTAAACATGATAAACTTGCTCAACATATTACGTCTTAAAAAGAACTAACATTAATGCAAATGTCGCCAATTAAAGCATATTACTTATTGAACCATTCGCTCGTTAATGTTGACTTAATGTTGCAGTTCCTAGGGAGTAATGCTTTGAATACCCCGACAATCACAAGCAGTAAACACGCGTTCTACAGCGTAAAGGGGGCGGGGGGGGGGGGGGGGGGGGGGGGGGGGGGGGGGGACTCCCAAGATAAGCTGTGTGGGNAGCGAGGCCAAAAGCTTACGCGTCCTAGAAGCGTAACTCTAAACGGCACTACGAGCTGACCTCCGGTCAGGATCGTGCTAGAGTGTACACAAATTTATCTTGTTATCCTTTCGTTACATAAAACATGATAAAATAAATCAGTTGTCTTTAAAGTGAAGTCTACTTCTTTGTTGTTGCGTCATGAAGTGCTCTCATGTTAGCAAACTCAATACATGTAGGGTTTTTATAGACTGCTTAAGCCGCTTTTTCTGCGAACTAGAAAATTAGATTAAAGCTTTTTTGTGTGCGCCTTTTGATTGGTTGAGATGAGTTGTTCGGAATCACGTGATGAGACTGTATGGTGAGCAGACGAGCGAACGGCACCACGAAAATTTATGTTCAACAGTGAGCATCATAACTTGCGTTTAGTGAGGATTACGTGTTCTGAAAATGATAAAGTAGTTTTGTCTTTTGTCGATGATGACAGCAATGAAGTTGCTGAAATGTTGGGGTATCTAAATAGGTCTTTTTTCTTCTTGTGCTAATTTCGTTCTAAAAATAGCCTTCTTGCGAATCAGCTGATACCGCGCGTCGTAATACGAGATGTAGACTTCATCTTATAAACTACCGGGTAAATCGATTAAATGTTGAATAGGAAAGTAGCGATTTTTACATTGACCAGGCGTGAGGTCAAGATCAATCAAAAATCAATCAATGAATATCTTTATTAAATCAGAACGTCTAGATTTTAGGGCTGGATTTTGTCCAAATCCTTTTTTTTTTTTTGCATGTTTTGTGTGTCGAGGTCCATACGCAAAAAAGAAAAAACGAGGCCAATATCGGGCCGTCTTGAACAGGCAGGCTCGGTAATTGATTGTATGGACGGTATTATAAAGAAAAAAGCAACATACAGACGCCGTACAGTTCTATTTGATAGTTCAGCTCCCCTGGTCGGGGCAGTCTTATTTAATTGAAATACATGTACTACACTAAGATCCAAGAATGTACACAATAATATTTTCAGTCTTAAGTCGGCAAGAAATTAAGAATGTCCAGCCTGAACATTCAAAATATGCATTCTTATACAGGAAGAGAGATTTATCTTAATTATAAGCTGCGTGAGAGGCGTTTGCTAAAGCAAGGTTATAGAAAAGTTGACCACAAGGAAGATTTTTCTTTTTAAGTTGTTGACGGAAGGATTTCCTTGCCCATCCATGTTGCACCATGTCGGCCAAACTAAACGGATTGTACCGTGTTAGGCGATGGTATCATAGTATCAAAAGTATCATATCAAAGTATCATAGTATGTGAAGATGTACGCGTTCGATATTCTTGGATTTTCTTGCAGCAAATAGATCACTTAGACAATGCCTATCTCGAGCAAAAAGGAGAACTGGCAGCCCTTCAGGAGCGTTTAGATGACTTAGCCCGTGCAAGGTAACCTTTTAATGTTTTATGATAACTGACACGTTGCCATGAAATATAATAAATAATATAAACTAAAAATAATAAAAATAATAAGGGTGAAGAGCGTACAGGATGGGAGGAGAATAAAGGGTGCTTATTGTAAAGAGTTATGTCCAGTGTACACGTAGTTGTCGGTTGTCATCTTTAATAAAGGAAGTTGGATTTCGTGCCCCGAAAAGTCCTTATATACAGCAGACGATATTCAATTTCAAATTCAGAATTACATAGCTCTTTTGTTTGAAACGAGTAATTGCTTAACGCGATTAAAATCAAATGAGGGAGTTTTCAAATGTTTTTCAAATCTTTTCTGTTGAACAGAACGAAATATGAAGCCCGTGACAAACAGCAGCAAGGTCGAGTAGCAACCCTTGAGAAAGAAAAGAATTCACTGCGTGATGAACTTACAAACACTGTTAATGAGTTAACACAGGTAAGAGTACTGTTGGATTCAGGGGCGTGGGGGGGGGGGNCACTGTGTCAAAATGAGGGTACTCACCAGATTGTCATGTCGTTTTCGCCACCTGTTGTAGGTTGTTTGCTTAAAAGAGGCCTTCAAAAAAAAGGGGGGTCACGGGCACCCAGGACCCCCTCTCTCCTTAGCTACGCCCCTGGGATTCTATTATTGGGAGTCCATTGCGTACTGGATTCTATTATTTGAAGATTCGGGTGGTCGTACTTGATGCAGTGGACTACTGATCGAGAAAACCGAATTCTCCACCTTGCCCACATCCTTGTGCGTTTTGTTGTGTTGATTTCACGTTTGAAATAATATTTTGTTCACTGCTTCTTATAAATCTACTGATGAATACTGGTTTTTATTTATTACGGTAATCTTATATAGCGTTGGAGATTATTTAGAGAGGTCCAGACTAAAATTCCCTTCTTTTATTTCGATTTAATTTTTGCTGACATGGGGGGTTGTTGCTTCTCTGCGTTTGAAACCAATTTTCTCCTGTGTCTCCAGAAATCATTGCAGCTTGATAGAGCAGAAAAATCTCTCCGTCAACAAGAAGAAGAACTGGCTAACTTGAGACAGACGCACACTTTGTATAAAAACAAGGTACAGGATGTTGCAGCTGTATTTGAAAACTAACGCATTGCATTTGTAGTGTTTTGAATATCTCTTGGTCTAAAACATGTTTCGTTGTTTTTGTTTCAGGTGTCAATGGAACTTGAACAAAAGGAAGGAGAAACTGCTCAGCTGAAAGAACGACTGGGTGATCTTCAGCGAAGGTGAGATTGACACAAAAGTGAGATTGGAGTCCTCTGAGATCCTTTCTCATACGTTCTCGTGACTTTCTTCTTCATCCAAGACGTTTATTTAAAAAAATCTCCGCAATTTTGTGAAATAATTTTTCGTTTGTGTCTGATTTTCTAATTCGTTTTCCCCCTTTTCCATCTAGGCATACATCTAGTCATACATCGAGTATTCTCACTCTTTTAGCCGAATTGATATATGTCAAAGTCCCTACCGACATAAAATCTTCCAAATCGTTCCATATTTCTTAATATAAGCCAGGGCCTGCTTTTCATATTCATCTTAGACTTGAGGACAGTAAGCTGTCAGGCAATGATCAAGTTAAAGCTATGGAAAAAGAGGTATGTATTCACTTCATTTAGCCCACTTTAGCGTGCGTGTTTGCATGACTTTGTCTCCTGTCTATACAGTGTAATAAAAAAATCTCATTGATTGAGAGTATTGTGAACTTTTTATTTGCAGAGAGAGCAACTCGAAAATCGTCTACGCGAATCTCGGGATCAACTCAACGAGCTGAGGACGAATTCAAATGATCGAATAAATACGCTGGGATCTCTGGTAGGAAGCGTCCCAGACAACACTCTCTAAGCTCCTTCGCGTTACGCTCTGTTTGAGGGTCTGATTGCTGACCTGTAATCCCCAATCGTCCCGTCGTTTTCGTTCATCCTAGATGTTTACCCGGAGGTGGAGAAGAAACCCTGAAATCGTAGTTTTCCAGAAAGAGAAAGAGGCGATAACAGAAAAAAATAAAACAGAAATGAGACAAAAAAGCTTGTAACAAAAAATAAATCAAGGAGTTGACTATGATATCATGTGAAACTTGCTTGAGGTAATATACCACATAAGCCAAGCAGCACTCATACATGTATGAGGTCTTTACGTTATTGACGCATTTTATATTTTGGGCTTTGCTAGGTCAGTACCTTAAATGAAAGACTAGAAAGAAAGGAAACAGAACTCACGGAATGTAAAAGAAAATACGATCAAGATTATGAAAGCTGGAAAAGTAAAGTATGTACTGTACTCACCTCTTTGTTGCTTGATGTTCAGCACAGGTTGTTACTTCTGTGTCAGTTTGAGCTTGACTTTTACTTGTTTCAGCGTTGTTCTGTTTCTTTAGTAGACGTGTGTGTCTTTCTTTCGTTGTCTTAGAACTTTCAACTTGAACAGGAGTTGTCTAGAATGCAGCGAGAAACCAAGTCAGGAAAGCAATCCTCAGAGGAACAGACTGCAAACTTGGAAGGACAGGTACACCCCTTTTCTACATATTTAGGCACACCTCCTGTGCTCTTAAATTTGGCATGTTCCCCGAGAACGTTTTTCATACGTAGTCCTCTGCACACTGTATATTATAAGCTACAATCTGTATTCTCCAATTCATATCGAATTAAATGTTTATTTTAAACAGTTATAAACTGTAACTAGGGTTGCGTATGATTATACACAATTTTTCTCTGTAGGTAATGCGGTTGGAAGCTGCAAGGGAAAGAGAAAAAACAGAAATGCAAACAAAATTAGTAAGTGTTGACCTTTTCCCTTGGCACTAGAGCTGTAATTTCGAGGGACAAAGTTGGACTAAATAATGGGGTTCGTACTTTTACGTCTGGTTTGTTGCCATTCAAAACAAAATCAAAAGAGAGCCATGCAGCAATACAAGGACTATCATTTGGTACCATTTTTTTTATACTTTACAAGGTTATTTAACTTGCATGTTTGGAAGAAACCATAGAATTGCTGTGTTTGCCAGAGTATAACCTGGAGTTACACTGTAATATTTAGCTCAATTGAATCTTACGTTCCACGCGATTGTTAATCGAATGATTGTACTTTGTATCCTCGACATGTACCGTTATCCACCCTCTATTCTTAACGGCCAATGAAATGATTAGCAAGCAGGTGTTCACAGATCATCAGTCCATCCGCTCCAAGTGGTCTCACCTTGTACTTAGATCGCAGTTGATCTTCGCCTACAGCTGCTTAACTTAACGTGTGGCATGAAATTTTTGCGTTTTTTTTTTATTGTTGTGTGTGGCATTAGAGATGCTGAGAGGTTTTCTTTTGGGTTGGGTAGCAGCTCTCGTAAGGTCTCGCATGAATGACTTGATACTCTTTGAGGGGACAATAAAACAAAGAACAGAAACAATATAATGCCCCAACACAGTAACAGCTGCTAACCAGCAAAAGAATTACAAGTTTACTAGAGGTGCTACACTTAGGTTTTTTACGTGATGCTTTTTGTTTGTTTGTTTGTTTGTTATACTATATGTTTCACAATTAAATCTGAGACATTATTTTGCGTTTCGAAATTCGCCCCTCTCAGAGTAAAAGGTGAAACACTTTTCTTAAATACTCAGGTACGAAACGGTTGACACCTCATTTTACATGTTTCCTCGCACGAGATTTGTAGAAGTGGCACAGGCAGTGAGACCTTGTTAAAGCAAGCGATCAAGGCTGCGTCGATATTTGCGAAGATGGCACTAAACATTTTTTCCCTTGTTTTGTGACAGGATCAACTGAAAATAATCGAGAACGAGTATTCGAGACAGGAAGACTCGTACAAACAACAAATAGCTGACCTCGAAGAAGAAAAAGAACAACTACAGGTCGGTATAAGAAGCTACTTTGCTCAACGGAAACTTGCCTGGTCAAATCCTTTTTACAGTAAAACTGGATGTTCTTTTCGACAGAAAACCTTCATCGCAGGCTCTCTCTCTCCATTGCCTTGAACGACAAGGGAGGGAAACGAGAGAGAGCATGGGATCGAGATTGTTCATCAGACTGTAAAGTGTGACGTCAGGAAAGATTCCCCTATTATCGACCGGGGCCGGGTTGTTCAAAGCCCGATTAAGCTAACCCAGGACTAGCGAAAACTGATTAGGGAAAAGCTGACTTTAGTTTTGTAACTTTTTGGTGAGGTTTTCTGTTTATATTGTTTGTCCTTCAGTTTTGAGCCGGAGTAATCTCAAACTAAGCCAAACATAAGAAGTGAAAAACATTTTTATACAAGAAAAAGTAGTGTTTCAGTTAACTTTTAATCCCGGCCAAATACACCACTTTATTTGGACATGGATACTGAATCGAGCGAACATTCTCCAAGCTCATTATTTTGGCTGCAGCTCGATTGAACTTGTTAAGTAAAGAGAGAGTTTTCTTTTCCACAGAACGAACTTATGTCAAAAGCAGAGGAGAATAGACATGTTTCACTGTGTTTGGAAGACGCCATGAAAGAGACAAATGAGCTTAAAAGCCAGGTTTGTAAAGTCGATAGATCATCTATGATTAAAACATATACACATTGCAAGTCGTTTCGAAATTAATCTTCATGTTGATAGTAAACGGACATTGTTAAACTTACAGTAGGGTTCAATCACTGACCTTAGTGACCACGCATGCGCCTACCCTTTGAAGTAACTCTTTAAAATAATGTAACAAAATTAGTAAAATTGCAATTTAACTCAGAATTAAAAAAGTTAGGTTGAAAGAATCACTCAACAGAACAATTTCGACGTCGTAAAGTAAAAGGTATTTCATTTGTGAATAAAGGTGGTTAGCATAAAAATGTTATCTTTTTAAAAACTCAAACTAACCAGGCTTTAGATTTTTCTGTAAAACTAAACATTGAAAATTAAGGAAACTTTTAAATCAAATCAACAATTAATCAAATCCAAAACCTTAACCTATTTTAAACGTGTAGGTTTTTTCTTATAAGTAATATTAAATGTGAATGCGCGTTGGATAGCATTTAATTAACCCAAGAACTTGTACATTAATTTTCAATACCTTCAGATCGCTAAGTTCGAGGAGACGCTAAAGGAGAAAAACGATCTTTTAACTTGCTTTAAAGAGAGTAAGGTAAGAGAGCGGTGAGCTGTAAACAAAAAGTCGAGCGTGAATTTGGGATATAGGGAGACCATCGTGGAAAAGAACAAACACTGTGTATCAGATCATAATCGGTCCTCAGCCGCTCACGGAGCGCATAAGGCCTCGTTGTAGATAAGCTCGATTTATTTTCAATGTTCTTTAAATCTTGTGACTGAGTTATGTCGAGAAAATAAATGTCATTGTAAAGTCGTTGTATGGCCCTCCACACTAATTCCATCTCTTGCGAGGTTTGAGGCGTTCTTTAAACCTTACACGTAAAACGTATGGTATTTATATTGACAGTAAATAAACAGCAGGATAAATGGACACAAAGTATTGCTGCACGACATATTAAGAGCATGAATCACGTACTTTTGTCAATAGATCTTAATATTTGACCTATTTCATATATTATACATTTTAGGTACTTCTAAATTACAGGTAGAACCGCACGCAACTTAAATTACCCAATTACCCAATGACAATTTTTTGTCAATGTCTTGCTTTCTGAACCCATAATAAAAGTATGACGCAGAACTTTTATATTAGTCGTCCATTGTCATCTTTTATGAAATTAGTGTACGTGGATGATATGCCTCAATTTTTGTTTTCACTCAATTACAGCTCGATTCACCCTCTCATTTTACAAGTAACCTCAGCCCTGAAGCAATGGAAGACCTCAAAGAGGAGCTCAACAACACTAAGGTATAATCACAACTTGGCAAACAATATTTAGCAATCCTCAATAAAACTTTGTTTTTCACAAGTATTACTTTGTACATGTGGGTGAGCGTAAAACAATAGTTACACTATGTCAGTATTTTGACTTTGACCGTGTGTTTCTCTTTGTCAAGGCTCGTTATCAGAATGCAGAGGAAGTTTTAAAACAGAGGTGAGGTTTAAATCGCTTTTCTTTTGTGTCAGTGTTGGTTTTGGTATGGTGAGCTTTGTTACTGGTTCGTAATACCCTTGCACTCTGGTCTCACTCAGAAAAACAATCAGATCAGGTGGACAAAATTCGCGCTTGCTTCACATTTGGTTCTCCTTGTAACTAAGTACTTCTTCATTTATTCCAGAAGCATATCACCTAGAACTAGGTGATATGCTTCTGTTTATTCCGAATAACTTTCAGTAATGCTATTTTATCCTAGTGATTTTTTTTTTTGCATAGCGAGGGTAAATTGTTAACATGCTTCCCTTTCTCTAAATTGTTTTCCTCGAATTGTTTTAATAGTTGCTGTAGCGTTAATTGGTAGCAGGAAGCGCTTGGTCTTTAATTAGACACAATAAGTTTAAAAGCTTTGTTTTTCTGTAACCAAATTCGTGATTAAACAGATGGGACTCCCGCTAGGCTGAATGATTACAGGTTTATAGAATTGGACTTTACTCAGTCAGTGTTTCAGAAATCTATTATTTGGTTTCGTCTTACGCGGTGAGCATAACAATCAATTCATGCTTTAGCGCGTGCATTTTNTTAGCTCAATTGAATCTTACGTTCCACGCGATTGTTAATCGAATGATTGTACTTTGTATCCTCGACATGTACCGTTATCCACCCTCTATTCTTAACGGCCAATGAAATGATTAGCAAGCAGGTGTTCACAGATCATCAGTCCATCCGCTCCAAGTGGTCTCACCTTGTACTTAGATCGCAGTTGATCTTCGCCTACAGCTGCTTAACTTAACGTGTGGCATGAAATTTTTGCGTTTTTTTTTTATTGTTGTGTGTGGCATTAGAGATGCTGAGAGGTTTTCTTTTGGGTTGGGTAGCAGCTCTCGTAAGGTCTCGCATGAATGACTTGATACTCTTTGAGGGGACAATAAAACAAAGAACAGAAACAATATAATGCCCCAACACAGTAACAGCTGCTAACCAGCAAAAGAATTACAAGTTTACTAGAGGTGCTACACTTAGGTTTTTTACGTGATGCTTTTTGTTTGTTTGTTTGTTTGTTATACTATATGTTTCACAATTAAATCTGAGACATTATTTTGCGTTTCGAAATTCGCCCCTCTCAGAGTAAAAGGTGAAACACTTTTCTTAAATACTCAGGTACGAAATGGTTGACACCTCATTTTACATGTTTCCTCGCACGAGATTTGTAGAAGTGGCACAGGCAGTGAGACCTTGTTAAAGCAAGCGATCAAGGCTGCGTCGATATTTGCGAAGATGGCACTAAACATTTTTTCCCTTGTTTTGTGACAGGATCAACTGAAAATAATCGAGAACGAGTATTCGAGACAGGAAGACTCGTACAAACAACAAATAGCTGACCTCGAAGAAGAAAAAGAACAACTACAGGTCGGTATAAGAAGCTACTTTGCTCAACGGAAACTTGCCTGGTCAAATCCTTTTTACAGTAAAACTGGATGTTCTTTTCGACAGAAAACCTTCATCGCAGGCTCTCTCTCTCCATTGCCTTGAACGACAAGGGAGGGAAACGAGAGAGAGCATGGGATCGAGATTGTTCATCAGACTGTAAAGTGTGACGTCAGGAAAGATTCCCCTATTATCGACCGGGGCCGGGTTGTTCAAAGCCCGATTAAGCTAACCCAGGACTAGCGAAAACTGATTAGGGAAAAGCTGACTTTAGTTTTGTAACTTTTTGGTGAGGTTTTCTGTTTATATTGTTTGTCCTTCAGTTTTGAGCCGGAGTAATCTCAAACTAAGCCAAACATAAGAAGTGAAAAACATTTTTATACAAGAAAAAGTAGTGTTTCAGTTAACTTTTAATCCCGGCCAAATACACCACTTTATTTGGACATGGATACTGAATCGAGCGAACATTCTCCAAGCTCATTATTTTGGCTGCAGCTCGATTGAACTTGTTAAGTAAAGAGAGAGTTTTCTTTTCCACAGAACGAACTTATGTCAAAAGCAGAGGAGAATAGACATGTTTCACTGTGTTTGGAAGACGCCATGAAAGAGACAAATGAGCTTAAAAGCCAGGTTTGTAAAGTCGATAGATCATCTATGATTAAAACATATACACATTGCAAGTCGTTTCGAAATTAATCTTCATGTTGATAGTAAACGGACATTGTTAAACTTACAGTAGGGTTCAATCACTGACCTTAGTGACCACGCATGCGCCTACCCTTTGAAGTAACTCTTTAAAATAATGTAACAAAATTAGTAAAATTGCAATTTAACTCAGAATTAAAAAAGTTAGGTTGAAAGAATCACTCAACAGAACAATTTCGACGTCGTAAAGTAAAAGGTATTTCATTTGTGAATAAAGGTGGTTAGCATAAAAATGTTATCTTTTTAAAAACTCAAACTAACCAGGCTTTAGATTTTTCTGTAAAACTAAACATTGAAAATTAAGGAAACTTTTAAATCAAATCAACAATTAATCAAATCCAAAACCTTAACCTATTTTAAACGTGTAGGTTTTTTCTTATAAGTAATATTAAATGTGAATGCGCGTTGGATAGCATTTAATTAACCCAAGAACTTGTACATTAATTTTCAATACCTTCAGATCGCTAAGTTCGAGGAGACGCTAAAGGAGAAAAACGATCTTTTAACTTGCTTTAAAGAGAGTAAGGTAAGAGAGCGGTGAGCTGTAAACAAAAAGTCGAGCGTGAATTTGGGATATAGGGAGACCATCGTGGAAAAGAACAAACACTGTGTATCAGATCATAATCGGTCCTCAGCCGCTCACGGAGCGCATAAGGCCTCGTTGTAGATAAGCTCGATTTATTTTCAATGTTCTTTAAATCTTGTGACTGAGTTATGTCGAGAAAATAAATGTCATTGTAAAGTCGTTGTATGGCCCTCCACACTAATTCCATCTCTTGCGAGGTTTGAGGCGTTCTTTAAACCTTACACGTAAAACGTATAGTATTTATATTGACAGTAAATAAACAGCAGGATAAATGGACACAAAGTATTACTGCACGACATATTAAGAGCATGAATCACGTACTTTTTGTCAATAGATCTTAATATTTGACCTATTTCATATATTATACATTTTAGGTACTTCTAAATTACAGGTAGAACCGCACGCAACTTAAATTACCCAATTACCCAATGACAATTTTTTGTCAATGTCTTGCTTTCTGAACCCATAATAAAAGTATGACGCAGAACTTTTATATTAGTCGTCCATTGTCATCTTTTATGAAATTAGTGTACGTGGATGATATGCCTCAATTTTTGTTTTCACTCAATTACAGCTCGATTCACCCTCTCATTTTACAAGTAACCTCAGCCCTGAAGCAATGGAAGACCTCAAAGAGGAGCTCAACAACACTAAGGTATAATCACAACTTGGCAAACAATATTTAGCAATCCTCAATAAAACTTTGTTTTTCACAAGTATTACTTTGTACATGTGGGTGAGCGTAAAACAATAGTTACACTATGTCAGTATTTTGACTTTGACCGTGTGTTTCTCTTTGTCAAGGCTCGTTATCAGAATGCAGAGGAAGTTTTAAAACAGAGGTGAGGTTTAAATCGCTTTTCTTTTGTGTCAGTGTTGGTTTTGGTATGGTGAGCTTTGTTACTGGTTCGTAATACCCTTGCACTCTGGTCTCACTCAGAAAAACAATCAGATCAGGTGGACAAAATTCGCGCTTGCTTCACATTTGGTTCTCCTTGTAACTAAGTACTTCTTCATTTATTCCAGAAGCATATCACCTAGAACTAGGTGATATGCTTCTGTTTATTCCGAATAACTTTCAGTAATGCTATTTTATCCTAGTGATTTTTTTTTTTGCATAGCGAGGGTAAATTGTTAACATGCTTCCCTTTCTCTAAATTGTTTTCCTCGAATTGTTTTAATAGTTGCTGTAGCGTTAATTGGTAGCAGGAAGCGCTTGGTCTTTAATTAGACACAATAAGTTTAAAAGCTTTGTTTTTCTGTAACCAAATTCGTGATTAAACAGATGGGACTCCCGCTAGGCTGAATGATTACAGGTTTATAGAATTGGACTTTACTCAGTCAGTGTTTCAGAAATCTATTATTTGGTTTCGTCTTACGCGGTGAGCATAACAATCAATTCATGCTTTAGCGCGTGCATTTTCGTGCTATGATACCCGCAGGAAATTTAGAGCGCACGAAAGAAGTGTAAGATAGATAGATAGATAAATAGATATAGATACCGCTTTTTTTTATCCTCGAGCAATTGAGGCTTAATAGGTAGTGAGTCGAGAGTCAAACTTAAAAATCCAACTAAAGAAAAGTACATGGGTGCAGATAAGAAACCAACTTTCATTATAAATGAAATAGGCTAAAAAAAAATGTGACTTAATTTAAATTTAATAGGGAGCTTAAGAAAACCACGACGGCAACGGCAACGGCAACGTCGCTAAACAAAAGGTTTAATGAGGAGACCGATGGCTGTACACGTGCGTTATAATTCTTGTTGCATTTCTTTGCCGTCCTCTGCAAAACAACAACGTGAAATGGCCAAATTCTGCGTTCTCTGGAGAACGTGAACCACGGCGGTTACTTTTTTAAATTTTTATTTCGAATTTATCGATGTGTCATAGATTCAGTTTCGTGATAGCTTTCACAGTGATAAACAAAGAAAATAACCTTAGGGCGTCACGAGATTCGCAGGTAAAATAGAAAATCATTTTTTTAATCGATGTTGTCCTCGGCGTCGCCCTCGTGGTTTCTTAAGCTCCCTAATATAAACAACATAACAATTCTTTATTCGGCGAATGCAAATAAAATAAACAAAGCAAAGAAAACCACCTCCTGAAAAGGGAAATCGCGAGGTTATCGGTGAAACAGTTACCTTAATAAAAAAATTTCTTAAAAAAACATCTAACAACAAGTTCATAGATTAAATATTATTTACAGTTTTAGCCAATGTTCAAGTAAGTCTTTAGTCCAGCTGTTTCTAAATCGTGAACCAGCGTGTGCAAAGTGTTAAAACCAAGACTTAACATGTGCATCCTAACTCGAGGCATGATTCAATTATTTTATAACATTTCCAGTGGAAATAAATTTCTTTGGCGAAACAAAGTTGACTTTGCTTTAGCCATGAGCTTACATGATCATCATGGGATTATGATGTACGCTTACGGATACTGAGTTTGTTAGCAATGTTACAAAACTACTGATTGCTCACCAGTGACAAATCACGATATTTGCTCAACCTTGTCCAGTAATTTACAAGCATTTTGGTTGTTGCAAACAGGGACAAAACTGTCGCCGAGCTAAGAAGAGCAGTTGCGGAGAAAGAGGACTTACTTAACCGATCAACGACTAAGGTAAAAGACTGGCTATTCCTACTACGTATTTAAAATGAGTTTAAGAGCAATTCCTAGTCGTTTATGTGGACTCACCGTTACGCTTTCCTTGCCTGGTCTCCACGGTATCCTTCTGGTTAGGAGAGTTTGTTGTGCGGAGCCAGTGAACATGCGACCGGTAACCTGTCAGCGAGTCTGTTCTTGACTTTGGAACTCATTATCAGTATTATCTCCTATCATCAATCCCGTAGACCGTGGCAAACAAGGTCATCTCGTTTCGGCTCAAACCAACACTCTCTGTTTCACGCCGCCGCCTGGCTACAATCCAACTCTTCCACCCTGCAGAACCTGGACTAATTACTAGCTTGTTATTAGGTCAATATGAAATTGAGTATTTTAGAAGCAAGGCAAGAAAATGGTCACTGAACGTCCAACTAAAATTCGGTCCGCATTACAGCACGCAGGGATGTGAATAACTTGGAGAAACCTAGGCCAATTTTTTTTTTTAACTTTTTACTTTTATCAGTTTTAGGCTTTTGGTCAAGTGTTCAAGGTGTAACCTAAACAACGCCAGCTATCCAAACTTTTCATCACTTCCACTACCCACCTGAGAAAACATTTTGAAACTAGCGTGCACTTTTCCTGCTTGGTGCTTGCATGTATAGCATTAACATAACTTTATTGAACGTGTAGACCCACATCTCCTACGACACGTCGTCTAATTTACTGGCACACCAAAGAATTACAGAAAAAGAAAACAAAACAAAATCCCGGAAACTGAAAAAAGTAAAGACTATGATTAAAAATACAATTTCACGCTATAAAAATATTCAGCGTATTTAATTACTTGAGTAGTTTACACATTCAAATCTGAACTATGTACAGAGCGGTTTTCAATTGTGTGTCGTAAAACCAAAACCAAAGTAATCACTGTGGCCAATCACAAAGAACACAGACGAAGCATTGAACCAATCAAAACTCCAAGTAATAACATGCAGCTGACGCAAAGCGCGGGAAAACGAGTGAGTCACAGTTGGTTTTGGTTTTAGTCGTTCTGATTGGGTGAAAAAGATTCGATGAAAAAGAGGCGCGAGTTCTTTAAGCCAATCGTGTAGCGTACTTGATGCAAAGCCAATTACTTTTCGACACTCAAACGAAAACCGCCCTAAACCCACTCTCGTATTGTGAGAAAACATATTCCCTTCTCGCTAATTTTAAGCAAGGTTAAGGTGATAGTCATGGAAACAAAATAAATATCTAATTTGTAATTTCGTCTGTAGATTAGACAATATGAAGAAAACAACAGATATCTAGGGAATGACAGAATATACGGTTCAGAAAACAGAGGTAAGACTAGGCAGTACGAGGAATTAATTGATGGACAAATGTTTAAAATACCACTTATACTTGATAATATCAAAAGATGTCTTAAAAACAGGTAAGGTAAGATTTCTTTAAAACACAACCGATGATGGTTTGACGGTTCAACTACTCCTTAAATTTCTCGTTTAAACGGTTACAACGCTGAGGTTGGTCTGCTCTTTTTAACAGGTGATCACAGAAACGATTCCGAGCTGTAGTGTCTTTTTCTCCAGTATCTATTGAAACAAAAAAATACCCTTAGCATTTTTTGTTTAAGGATATACACATGTACTTATTCACAGTTACGAAATGTTTCGTATTTAAGAAATAATAGCAAGAGCGAGCCGATTTACAATTTGGAACTCTTTCTCCCACACAGAATGCATCCCAATTTATTTTTGCCGGGCGCAGATCATTATTTGTAAGATGGCTCCGTGTAGCCACTGCTTCGAACCGCTGATGCGAGGGATGCTAGGCTAAGAATGCGGAAGTCTCTTGACTGCGCTCAACTTTCTTCACCTCCCGAGAACGAGATTCGTAGCACTGCAGAGATTATTGTTAAGTGTCGGGCTGGTTGAATTGACGATAGCACCAATCAGACACACTCTAGCGCACGGCATTTCCCGCTAGGACTCAAACTCAAATTCATCTTTTGGGCGAAGGAAATGATATGCTTCAAAATAGACGCCTGGACCCTCTTCAGAAGGATAAGCCGTCACAAGGTTCTTGTTCTAAAAATACGTTACGAAAGGGTATCCCAAAAACAGAAATCGGTTCCTTCTCCAGTGTAATTGTCTCTTGGTTATATTCGTCCATCCGCTAACTAGCTTTTATAAAGGACGGGAAACTTATTTTACTTTTGAATGTTCACGTTCTTCTTTCTTTATAACTTTTAAAGATTCTCAAAAGGTTATTACAAACTTGAAGGAGAGACTAAAAGAGCTGGAAGAGCAACTTCAAGAAAGAGAGGTAAGCAATCCTGTGATACTTTTAATAATAGTATGTGCTGGTGGAGGATCCGCTAAATCCTTCATAATTTTGACTGTACTTTTTAAGGGAACACCGCAGTGGCTTAATGGTTAGCGCTCCCAATCGCCGGAACGGGCCGGGTTCGGGTTCGAGCCCTAGCCGGGGTCATTGCGTTGTGTTCTTGGACAAGACACTTTATTCTCGCAGTGTCTCTCCTCGTCTAGGTGTATAAATGGATACGTAAAATAACTTCATGGACTAATAAGGTTGATTTAGATAGTAAATGGAACTAATTGCTTCTGTTATGTTTGAATAGATGCTTCAACTGGACGAGAACGAGGTGAGTGATACTTACGCTGTTCATATTTTAGTTGGATGGGTAACGATAAAATCTGAGAAGACAAGGCAAATAATCAGTTCCCAAATTCCATGTACGCGTAGCGTTACTCCAAATTAGCGTGAATGAGAAAAATAGCTCGAAAGATTATCTTTAGATATTTTTCAAGAAGTTACCTTAACGTTGAAAAATGTCTTATTTGGGACACTATCGTCAGATAATTCAATCGCGACAAGGGTTGTGGTCACAACCGTTGTTTGTTTCTTCAGTTTCCCTTCTCTATTTTTTTGTGATTGGTATGTAAATTTTTGTTTATCGACAGCTGCGTGATCTGAGGAAAGATAACAGTCGACTGGAAACAGATCTAGAGGACAAAGACAAGGTAATCTTAGACGAAATTTAAAGGTGATCCACGAACCTTTTGCAGCAGATTCAGGTTGAGCGTTTGAGGCAAACTGTCAGACGTTGCTGGGCCGAAGTGAAAACGTGCTGTTAGAGTAAAGGCACGTTATTACTCCAGATTTAGGAATGAAAGATCCTCGCGAGAGCAGGGGTTTCAAAATGATTTGAATTAGGAGTCTGCAGTGCGACGGGTAGGCGGCTGTGACAAGTTAGGGGCCGCAAGGCCCCTCATCGTAGGGGGTCTGGGGGCATGCCCCCTCCCCCAGAAAATTTTAAAATCTACAATATAGAAGCATAGTCAATAGAAAGAAGCTAGGAAATGCCATTTTCAGCATTCATTGTTAGATACTGATCTGCCAATGGCATAACTATATTGATTTTCTTAGGTGACATTAATTTGATGAAAACTAGTCAAGGAAGCAATGCCACCGTGTGATCTTACTTTACAGAGTAGCACGAAAATTATATAAATCCTTGTAACACGTGTTTGACTGAGATAGAAATGTAAAGAAAAAAAAATCATTTGAAGCGTTTACAAATCTCACATTTTTCATTTATAAGATTAAATTTAGCTTAGGATTAGCATCTTAAAGGAGTGAGAATCAAGCAATAAAATCATCACATAGGTTAAAACAGGACTTGAAATAAAAAAATCCTTAAATCGCCGTTTGGCGACGATGTGGTAAAAAATAGTCGCCAAATGCAAGTTTTTAGTCGCCAGTAAAATCAGTTTGAAGGGACGCCATCCGTAGGCATACATGACGTACTCAATACTCAAGGGTTTGCAATGCATTATAGGGCGATTTTGAACATGGTCAGCCATTTAGAAGTTTTCTTATGTGAAAGAATCGTTTTAGCAAAGCAAAAGGATTGGATGCTTTAAGCTTTCTTTTTAACGAGCTTACTTCCTATTTCAAAAACGATTATCACTGCAAATTGAGAAACAAAAGTTACTCTGCCGTCTTAAAGATTATCGATAAGACAAAATGCCGAGCTTGTTTGTCGCAAGCTGATTGCTAAAGCCAGAGTAACAAGCGATATATTATTAAGTAGGCGGCGGAACTCTGGCGGTCCCCGGCTTGTTTTGAAAACACTGCCAGAGGGTCACTTCCTCTATCGATGATTGTGTCTTAGATCTGGGGATAAACATAACCTTGATTACGGCGCGCAACACAAGTCACAACATCCTTTTTCCTAGAAATAACGTTGCTATTCCCGCCTTGTAACGTCCGACATTTTAACTTGCAATGCAATCAATCGAGCGTTACGACAAATTCGACATTTGAGACCTAAACGTTCCACCTCATTCCGGTATATTTAGACCCCGATCACACTAATGCGTTCTTAAAGGTATCCGTTTTCGTTGAGACGAAAACGAAGCAAATATTTTCGCCATGCACGCTAACGTTTTCGGTTTGTTTTCACGTGCCCACAGCAGTGCATTTTCGTACGAAAACGCATACTTTTTGATACGTTTTCGCCTATCGTCCATACTAAAATGCCCGAAAACACTGATGGAAACGACAGTATATGACGCTTTTTTCGGCACCGTTTTCAAAAGCCTCCGTTTTCAGCTATCCATACTAGAAACGGTGCGTTTTTAAAACGATGCGTTTTCAAAAGACTCCGTTTTCATCAGCATTTTTGGTCGTTCTAGAGTGGTGGATAGGGGAAAACGCATCAAAAAGTATGCGTTTTCGTATGAAAACCCATTAGTGTGGTCGGTCGAGCCTTAAACTGCTCCATGCAAACTCTCGAATTCTTGCACAGCGAAGAAAATAAACACTTGTTTTGTTCGTGCCTTGTTGCGTGTTACGATCTAGCCCGAATTCTTTGTTTTTTTCCGCAGAAAATAAAACTTCTTCAAGCAAAAATAATCGAACTAAAGAAGGCGTTCCAACGAGAACTGGTAAGATTATGTGTTCACGTGATTCCGTTACTTAGGGAACTTTATCACTACCTGACTTCTTTTCTCTGCTAGTTAATCCTTTACAGGGACTGAGCCAACCTAAAACATAATTAGGCAAAAAACACACAAAATAATCGGTAAAAGGGTTGTAAAAAATGTTCTTGTCGTTTATTTTGTTGCAAACGTTCTTCGAATACTTTTTCTTCTCAGAAAATGGCCGCGCCTGGGGGAGAGGCTATGCAGAGAAGTCCTGGCACCCCAAACGGTGACGTCATTGAACACAGTGATGATGAGAAAGACAGACAGGAATATCTCGAAGTTAACTTTAAGTATCCTTTGATGCTGGACACTAAAGACACAGTGTCCCGGCTGATTATCGAAAAATGACTTCCTTAATTTCCAGCGACCTCCCCGCCATGTTGTGTAACCAAGATGTATTAATTTAACTTACAGTATCGCCTTAACTCATCCTTTGATGCTTGACAGTAAAGAGACAAGTTTCTCGACTGATGATCGAAAAATCTCTTTTGCAATTTCCAACAACCTCCCTGCCATAGCTTTGAAAACCAGATATATTAATTTAACTTACAGTATCACCTTAACTCAAAGTCAGATATTTAAAACATGTGGTATTAAAATACATGTGCAGTACGAACAAGCAGGTAATGTTGTAGTCGTTCAGTATTCTCCCTCTCTGTTTTATTTAACAGCTGGTTTGTTTTTAGCTCGTGCTTTATGATTACGTCTGTTCACACTTGGTTGGTTCATTTGACTTTGGATCCAGAGGTTGGCATCCAATCCCTGGCCAAAGGGATTGTGGGGTGTTGTTGGACAAGACTTTTTTAAATGACTCTCCCCATGCCTCTGTGTTCTCAAATATTGTTTGCGTGACTCTTATTTTGGTATGAAAGGGGAAATAGAAAAGGCGTAGTCATATTATGCTTGTGTTAAGGTAAAAGGGGTGGGAATGAGCTCTCCTAACCTTGCGCGAGTGTTTCTCTCAATGTTTAGGAGCACGAAAAAAAAGTTTTCTTGAAGAAAGTAACTTGCAGGAAATTTTATTACAACGCGGCTTTATGCCATTCCGAGCTTGCGCTTTCTCCAGGTTGTTTTCTAAATGTTATTTGTAATGTTTAAGTTTATAATATGTTGTGTTGTGTTTGTCTTGTTAGTCTCGCCAGTTGATCAACGTGATCGGCCATTTGTTAAGGTTCACACCCAAAGAGAGCGCATGCGTCAAGGAAGCTATGGAGTGGAAGGTTTATGCCAACTTTTTTTTGTTGAGAAGTTCATGATCTCCACACTGACTAAATAAATTCCCGAATGCTTTTTCTGTTGTTATTATTGTAACTGTCAATCTCCATGATTCACTTTCCTTCGTGTTGAAATCTTACCTCCGTATTGAAATCTTACCTCCGTATAATGTTACCTCCGTACAATTTGAATTTAAATAGTGTCGGTCCATCGTTGGAGCACACATCATTTCTAGTTGTAGGTAATTCTTGAAGACAAAGAAAAGAATTGGTTAAACTGAATTTGGTATACTCTAAGTTGACATACAAAGACAAAAGGCTTATTACACCCAGACGGCTTTGGGGTGACGAGCGTGTAATTGTTGGAAGAGGACTTACTGGTCGGTAAAACTTTGATGTGTAAAACTGTTAATGTGTAAACTGTGATGTGTAAAACTAATGGTCTTAATATTTTTTATCGTTTCAGTTGCCACTTGATTAGGAATTTTTTTAAACGAAGTCGTTCCCAATAGGTAAGTTGTGAAGGTTACCGAATACTTAGGGTGAGAGAGGATGTATTGATTAAATTTGTTGTCCGAATTTCACATGTTGAAATGCGTATGTCGTTCCAGCGCTCAGTTAAAGTTATTATGGACACGATTAACATTCGTCAGGAGTTATACCATCAGTGAAAGTAAAAAGGTTAAAACCGTTTCACTTGAAATTTACGGTTCCAGCGAGTCTGTCCAAGTGGGTAGGGTATAAAAAAAATTAAATGTTTTTCCAATGTGCGCGCCTTAAGACGAAGCTATGTAGATATTGTATGCTGTAAAAATAATAAACACTGCATTTACACGGAATACTAGTGGTTGGACGCAAGAAAGAAAAATGGGGACTGTAAATAGAACATTCGTCAGGGGTATTCTTACGCCATGATGAGTTCTAACACGTTTTGAAACGTGCCTGTGTGTCCTTGAAATGAATTTAAACTTAAATTAAACAGCAACTTTTAAAAAGCGCACGTATAATTAAGTTAATTCTTACTTTAATTTTAAAGCTTAAAAAACGTAGTCGATTACAAGATTAAAATACTATATTGTGTAAACGTATGTAAATATAACACACTGGGATTTTATTGATGCTTGCATATTCAAGATGCAGGATCAATGAGCGGGGCACGCTTTGGATTTCAGCATGGCTTTTAGCCAGTAAGATTGGAGCTGCCCCTTAAATTGAGCAAATAAATTAGTACCGTCCTGAACAAACACCCAGTGACTGCTCTTTATTAACCTTTAACATCGTCCTTTAACATACACCTAAATAAACTCTAACATTTTTATTGCAGATGGATTAACAAGCTGTGTTCCTTGCTTTAAAACCGTAACACACCGCACTAGCAAGACGAGAGGCGGCACTACATTATAAACAGCTTTTCTTCCAGGTTCTTCTTAGCCATTTATCGTACTTTCCATAACGTCTCAGTAACAACATTCTCCTTACTCCTTCATCCATTTTTCATAAACCAAGTTGGGAGAATTTGGTGCTCTGATCGGCCTCTCTACTCTTGTTATTCACCTACTTATAGGTAGGTATAAAGGTGTAGAGAAATTATAAGCCGATCAGAGGTGACAGCTTAAGGGAAAAGGGTATCACTATCATGATAGAACATGGTGACAGACTCTTTAAGGGACTAACAAGAGTAAAATTACTTCAGAAATGCTTTTTATTTAGTACCAGGAGCCCATCACTAAGGGCTCCTGCTAGCACTGTATATTGTTTTCTGTTTTAACGAGCCCGACCGAACTGGAAATCATATTATAACATGAATCTATTTTAAGGAACGTAAGCACAGCATTTGTTGTTGGAATTCTAAGCTGGGACTTTGGAAAAAATTAACACGACGATAACGACAATTTTAGCCAGATAGAATAATTATCAAATATCCTTTTGGAGAGGTATTTTTAATGTGAACGTCGAGAAATGATATCACAAGAATTAATATAATATATCTGGCAAGAATATTAAATATGAAAATAACTATATTTAATATGAACGTCAAGAAATGATATCACAAGAATTAATATAATTTTTCTGGCAAGAATGTTAAATATGAAAATGACTATATTTATTTTCCGAGAGTGGAAAAAGAAGTATTGGTATTATCTTTATTCAGAGAAATTAAAGGTGGAATATATCATTTGTAACAGAATAAATGCAATGTTGATGAAAGCTTACACAATTATAGTTACTTAAAGTACTTTGTCTTCCTCCATGAATACCGAAATAAGTGAACATCCTTCCTCTTGGTGCATCCAGTTCTCAGTCTTTTCCTCTGAGAAGTAAAAAGGTCGTTTAGTTTCCGTTGTAGTCAGCACAACTATTTTCTTCTCAAAGTTCTTCTTATCCTGTGACTGTTTCAAGATGGTCTGCTGTGTTTCGCCGTGGTCGGTGTTGTTTTTGAATTGGAAGGCTTGCGCACACCTGCGCGACGTTTTCACGGTCATGCTAATTTTGACTGAGTGGACCGGAAGACATAAGACATGATATCAAATACTGCACTTCCCCCTAGATTTTAAGTGTACTTTTCCATTTAGAGACGGACGTTTAAACGGATTAGTTAAATATCAGCTCAACACATCGAAAATTGAGGTCGATCTCCACAGTCACGAACGTTGCTTACAGATTGAATGATGCTTATATCTTATGGCTGACCTGACTGACGCGCTAACTAAACATTCATGCGCCTTTTACACTGAAACTTTGAAGAAATAAAGGCCAGTAAATCCTCTGAAGTACACAGAACGGACATTATGTAATATGTAAACAAGCCGGTTGAACATTGAATCGTGTCATGTTTACCCAAAGGCAATCTACACCCAATGCCGGTTTTAGAGAACTAGACAGGATATTTTTAATTTTGGTGTTAATTGAAATCAGTGGCAAAATTTGGCCGCCTACTATCTCGACCTCTCCGCCTGTTCAATTTATTTCCCTATAGAATGAAATCACACACATGCAGAACTGTGTCAAAATTTACCGGAGTGACTTCGAGAAGAACATTACTGCTCGCATAAAGTATGTGTTTGAACATTGGCCAAATGTATCTTAGAATTCAAAGAAACCACTTCAGTACGGAAAACCGCGCATTAATTAAATGACGAATGACTGGCATTTTTTCAAAATTTAGTGATCGCGAGCTTTAATGGACCGAAAAGGGATTACATCATTTCACGCCGAGTGCGATTAAACCGTATCTCCAAGAAAGTCTGGTGTTTATTGTAAAGAACGATGCGTAATACGAAGTGGGCCATTTTCCTCAGATTCAGTTTAATGAAAGATCTTTAATAGTAGTTGTGAAAGTTGCGACCAACGTTCCTCGTTAACCTAATTAAAAATGCAGATTATCTCCGCTGGAAAGGCTACAAAACCGAACTCGATGTCAGTTCCTGGTTTCTGCAATGCTTCTGCATACAGTATGTATATTGTTTGAAATGATTTCCTAAATTATACGTATTGACCAT